ATTTATTTATTTGAGACAGAGAGAATGAGAGACAGAGAGCATGAGAGGGAGGAGGGTCAGAGGGAGAAGCAGACTCCCTGCCGATCAGGGAGCCCGATGCGGGACTCGATCCCGGGACTCCAGGATCATGACCTGAGCCGGAGGCAGTCGCTTAACCAACTGAGCCACCCAGGCGCCCCCTAGAGGTGGATTTTTAAAAGAACATACAGCTTGGTATAGAAGAACCACAAGCATGACCTAGGGAGAGTCAGTTTGGTGCAGGGGCATCTTCCCCCACTACAGCAAAGTACCGGTAAGCCAAAGGCTGACATGGAACCAGGATGGACCAGGAGATGTTATAAACATGTTTCTAAGGTAGGAGAAAACTTGGGGAGTTTGAAGTGTTTGTGTGTGTGCACAGCAGTTTAAGAGCAAGACTATGTTGGGGTGCCAGGATGGCTCCATTGGTTAAGCACCCGACTCTTGATTTCACCTCAGGTCATGATCTCAGGGTCATGAGATCGAGCCCCGTGTCGGGCTCTGCGCTTAGCACGCAGTCTAACTCTGTTGGGATTCTCTCTCTCTCCCTCTCACTAAAATAAATAAATCTTCCTCTTTTTTTTTTTTTAAAGAGCAAGTCTATGTTGAAATAGGAGGATTAATTTCTTCAAATTTTTAAAGTTCCTTGTCCTCATTACAGGACTTGATTTTTCTTTTCCCTCTGAGCGAAGAAGTTAACTAAATACTCAAAAGGCAGGAATCAAAGTTTTTATTCCAAAAATCCTATCCCAAATAACATCCGAAGGTATCATTCCCAAACTTTACTTCAAGTTCAGAGAGTTCTCCTGTTCTTGTAACTCTTGAACAAGCAGCAGCATTACTGTAGACATCTCACAGAACTATGAGGGACCAAAATAGGAGGTTTTTTTTTTTTTTAAGAGAGAGTGAGTGGGGGGTGGGGTTGTGTAGAGGAGAGGGAGAGAGAGAATCCCAAGTGGGCTCCATGCCCAGGACAGAGCCGGACCCGGGGCTCGATCTCACAGCCCTGAGATCGTGACCTGAGCTGAAACCTAGCACCCCAAAACAGGACATTTTTAAAAATCACACAGTTGGGCCTCAATAATGCCTTTCTTTTCATCATAAGCCTGGTTATGAGCTGTTGCACACACTGATCCCATGAGCTGCCTCTCTAACTGCATTTTGAAACTCAAAGATAAAACAAAAGCAAGGCATCTTGATCTCTTACCACTGTGGAAGATGTGATCAGGGGGTTTCCTTATGTCAGACAAAATCACATTGTCCTTCCCAAATCGTTTCCTGAAGGGAAAATCAAAACACGTGAGTTGGTACCTCTAGGATATAACTGGTCCAATGAAAATGCTCTTTTAAATAGGGCAAAGGACCAGTGTGGGAGATGATGACCCATGGAACTGCTACAAGTCTATGATATTAAGAGCAAAATAAAATGATTACATGTTGCCATAGATAAGCTACACATACTGAACAACTCAGATTTTCAATTTCAGCTTTTGGGGCTCTTACCTCAAAAGGTTAGCAAGCCCCACTCCAAGCTGGCCAAGACCTCCTAGATGAAGAAGAAAAAAGTGGAACTTTAATCCAAATCTAACCAATTCAATTATTCCCAGAAAATAGTAGCAGAATAAGACTATATGGCAATCTTAGCTAATGAGGGAAAGCCCCAGTCTGACCTGATAGAACTAAGTTACGTCTTCCAAGCTAGGACAGAGATCAGGCAGGTAATATTAGCTGCAGAGACAAAACTCTTTCTAGCATGCAGTGGCTGACAGGAAGCAAAGGTGCAAGAGGAGGAAGATCACAAGAAAGTTGGAGAGCCTCCTAGCTCCTTGGGCCAGGAATTCCCTCTCAGACCTGCCCTCATTATTTGATGGGCTCTGAAGCTTGAGTGCAACAGGTGCCGAAACAGTCAAAGCCAAATAGAACAGTCTGAGATCAGCCTCTGGTAGGATTATCCAGAAGCCCATTGCCCATTAGAACTGGGCTGGGGTGTGAGAGGGGAAAGAGGGGACAAACCAGGAAGTCAGCTGAGAAAAAGGCAGACAACTGAATCAACAAGGAGCCATGAAGAAAATTAAAAATGAGGATTAAAGGTTCCTAATTTAGAGGCTTAAAAATGCCGCTGAGAAGAGGGACATCCAGGTGGCTCAGTCGGTTAAGCGTCTGCCTTCGGCTCAGTTCATGATTCTGGGGTCCTGGGATCAAGGCCAGGGCTGCCAGCTCAGTGGGGAGTCTGCTTGTCCCTCTCCCTCTGCTCCTCCCCCTGCTTGCTCGATCTCGCTCTAACAAATAAATAAATAAATAAATTTTAAAAAAAAAGCCACTGATTGAAGTGGGTAAGCTGGGGGCCTTGAGTACAGCTGGGGGAATGCAACTGCAAATTTCATCTGGGAGAAGTAAATGAGGCGGGAGATCCAGAAAGTGGGATTTCCTGTAAGCGCTTGTTACCGTGGGACTAGAACCGGGCCCACTGACAGGACCACTGGGTTCTAGGAGATGCTCTGTTGGTGGAGGCAAGAGGGAGTAAACCACTACCAGATAAGTGGGGTGAACCAGGGAGGAACGGTGCAGAGGGGAAGTGACTCCACCTCAAGTCCATTTCCAGTCAGAGAGAGGAGGCAGTCAAAGAAACACACACACACACACACACACACACACACTCTGCGAGGAACATAAGAAGCCAAGGGGAAGACAATCTGGTGGGAAGAAGGAAATAAAGTGTGTCCATCACATCAGAGGTGGGCTTGGGTTGGCTGGAAGGACTTGGAGTGCCCGGAGAGGCTCGGAGTGAGGAGGGTACGGCCTCAGGGGCTGGGTGGACAGGAGGTGAGGAGCACAGGGGGCCAGTCTGGGGACACTGAGATCAACGACATTCTAAGATGGTGGGGACGGGTTCCTCAGGCAGGCCCTAACGTATCTCCTCTGTCTCCTACACACAAACATGCAACAGCTGCTGGGCATGGATGATGTGCAGTTTGGGTTGAGGAGCTCGGCCAAGAAAAGATGCACCTGATGCACCGCCCTAGTCCCTGCACACTCGCTCCCCATGAGTCCTCACCTCCAGGTGAGGGCAGCTCCTCGGCAGCTTCCTGCACCGCCCCCCCGCCCCTTTCCTATATCCAACCTTCAGACAATAAAAAATTACAACATGCAAACAAAGCACTGGCAACAGTGACACAATAAGGATTTCGGGCTTGCCATATTCTGGAGGAAGCCAATCGTGGAAAAGGTCATTTCTGATGACATGGTAGCCGTTCCAAAACCATCCAGAAACAGCACAGGAAAAAAAAAAAAAAAACAACAAACCAAAAAAAACGACGAAGAATCAAGTTGCAAATGTGGAAAAAAGAAAAACAAAAAACAAAAAACCCAACCTGTAATTAGGACGCGTGGCTGGTCTGTTCCAGAGAAAGAGGTAGAGTGGAAGCTGGCGTCTGCTGGAATCTGCTGAGGGGAGGTGCCCAGAAACTGGAGCGGCGGGGTAGCTGTCCAGCAGCCACAGGCTGGGCTCCCCAACATCTGGCCCGCGACCTGCCGCAGCAGCCTAGTGACCGGCATTTCCCCGAGAGTACCCTGCCATAAAAAAGGAGCAGAGTTCATTACGCAACCTTTTATGCTCCCGACCCCTCCAAACACAAGCTCGCTGAGATTGTCAGCTCACGGGCTAAGTGGATTGGACTCCCAAACTGAACTAAGGAGACTGCTGAGTGGGCCAACAGGAAGCCCGTCAAGAGCCTACCGCGAGCTGGGCTCTCTGAAAAGGGGATCAAACCCGGCAGGCAGACAAAAGCCGGGCAGAGATTTAGAACTGACACCTCACAATGCTGACATGGACTGCATCTGATGATCACGGTGGAGGGGACCATGCATACAGCTGGAAATACCAAGTCAGTACATCCCAGTGAAGCCTTCAAATCCTCACAGCTGTTAGCCGTCTGTCCATGCACCATTGGAAGGCACACACAGATCCCAGATTAAATAACCTAGTGCCCTGTAAATCTTATGCAAACACTCAGTCGCTATCCTTAGAATGAACCAGACCAGAAAAGCAGATAGTTAAGATAAAAAGGCCCTCAGTGATATTCGGTAAGCTGTGACTACTTTGTTTTACTGCCCTCTCCTTTCGAAAGGATCATCTGGAAGAGCCCTTTTCTCCTTTCCCTCCAGATCGCAAACATTTTAGTCTTCCTCCTCTTCCTCACCAGTTTTATTGCTCACTGACCATGAAATCAGTTCTGGCCTTAAGAGGTCAAGACGGTCCAATCACATAAGGCTTGTGACTGGAGGCGCATGCAGGCCTTTCACCCCACCTGCACTCTCCCCGCCCCCGCCCCCCTCGCAAGCGTGTCCCAAGAGTAAATCAGAGCCACACAGCGAGCTCTGCTGCTTCCCCTGCTCTGAAGTCAGGCCTCCTGCACTCTGCACACAGCCCTGTGGCTTCCACAGTCAGATTTCCAACAGAGTGGGGTGCCTGGGTGGCTCAGTCTTTAAGCATCTGCCTTCGACTCAGGTCATGATCCCAGGGTCCTGGGATCAAGCCCTGCATCGGGCTCCCTGCTCAGCGGGAAGCCTGCTTCTCCCTCTCCCACTCCCCCTGCTTGTGTTCCTTCTCTCTGTGTCTCTGTCAAATAAATAAATAAAATCTTAAAAAAAAAAAGATTTCCAACAGAGCTGGCAGGTGAACCTTCAGAGCCGACTCTGGTGATCGACCCCCTTCCAATGAGCTCACCAGATCTAACCATCTTACGTTTGTAAACTACAGTTGAAGATCCTTTAAGATCTGAACTTAGCCTGCTCCCACATTCAACTCAGTGCCTTGAGGAGAGGACACTAATACACAGCCCTTCAAAGCCCTTGGGACCCTTCATCCCAGCTAACTTTGCCAAACAAGCAGAAGAGAGCCTTCTGCTGGAGCATCTCTGGCTTGCTGTGGGGGTCAGGACTGGACCAGGGGCCCCCACTCTGGGCCACATTATAGGAAAGGCCCAAGTATCCCTCAGAAGACCTTTGGGGAAATCATCCTTTCAGTCATTATTGTCACCCAAGACCGGGTAAGAACTCTGACTCTTTTGGGGGGGAAAGGGGGATAGAATAAATTATAATTTTTTTTTAAAGATTTTATTTATTTATTTTGACAGAGAGAGA